ACTCTTTGGTTTATGTAATACAGTCACTTACTGTTCTCCACATGCTCTAATAATTATGAACACGGGGATAGAACTCGGGTCCTTGCGCTTGTGCAGCAGGCATTGAAACCACTGAGCTAAATCCCCGGCCCCATGAACACATTTTTCTATGCTGAAGTCACTTGCTTATTTATCAAGTATTGGTAATCACGAGCTACACCCTTTTCCTGATGGCACTATTGAGCAATACCATTAAAATCAAAGCATCTACACAACAATATTAAGTCTTCTTTAAAGCAGGATTAGATATAGTGAAGTCTCAATGTTAAAATATTTGAGGATTCATTTTCCTTTATTTGTGACAGATTTTTAACTGCATTCCAAGACTGAAAATACTCATAAATTGTCATAGTTCACTGTCTTCATCTAATATGCTCAACAGGTCCTAGATATTGCTTATTCTGCATTTATACATTTGTTTCAATAGTCTCATATTATATACAGTATTATATTGATTCTTCTTTTTTTAAAAGCGTTTTTTTTTCAATGCCTTTTATTTTATTTTGTCTTTATCTTTCTAATATTATCATGGTGCTGTGGCATCCTCACTGGAGTAACTCAACCTGAATATTAAAATCACTCACTTGTGCAATCATCAATTCACTAAAACATTTCTGTGAACTCTGAAACTGAAATATACACCACTTACTGTGTGATCAACAAATAGAGTGAATGTATAAATTTCTAAAAAATGCATTACAGTTAGGATTGTTTGTGTTTTTTGTTTGTTTTGTTTGTTTGTTTGGTACCGGGGATCGAACTCGGGACCTTGTGCTTGCAAGGCAGGCACTGGAACCACTGAGCTAAATCCCCCTCCCCTGCATTACAGTTAAAGACACATTGGCATTAATCTTTTTCAAAATACTCCTTCCCACTTCAAACACACTTTTCTCATCATTCTTGCCACTTTCTGAAGCACTACTGGAAGTTCTATTCCATGAGTGTCTTTAGGTTCAACCATTGTGGCTGGCTCTCTGTTCTGAAGCAATTCAAAAGGCTTTACCTTTCACAGTCATTTTGACTTTGAGGAAGAGCCAGAAGTCGCACAGTGTCAGGTTCAGTGAATAAAGTAATATTTTTGTGAGCCTGCCTTTCCATTGGATGGCACTCTGCAGCGACACTCACTGTATTTTTTATTGCACCTCATGAAAAAAAATTCACAAAAGAAGACTTCCAGAAGTGCTTCAGAAAGTGCCAAGAACAATGAGTAAGTGTGTTTTAAGTGGAGGTAAATATTTGGAGAAGGATAAATGACAAGGTGTCTTTTACTGTAATAAGTTTTTAAAATGTCAGCATTCACTATATATTTTGATCGCCACTTGAATTTGGCACCATAGAGACTAAAAACTTATGTAAGTTATGGTTCATGCATTCACCATCTAATATTCTATGGATGGAAATGAAAGCAAAGAGAAATAAGCAAAGAAAAAATCATCACAGAGCTTCCTCTCTTCTAATTTATACATTCAAGCCCCTCTCACTTCATTTCTCTTCAGCATCCCAAATTCTTCGACCAAATTGCAACTCACACATTACTTCCTCCAAAGTGCTGTAATCATAGTTTGTCCATAATAGTCCATAAACAGTTCATATTATTTCTCTGCCCCCAAACTTACCCCAAATTCTCTTATTTATACAAAATTTAACTATATCTATCTACAGATGGATGGATAGAAAGATAAATTGATTGATAGATATAGACAGATAATCATATATGAATAGCCATTAATTAAAAAATTCATACAGAAGCTCTTTGAATGGCTTGGAAAAGAGATAGCATTTTATGAATGTTGATCCTTTAAATAAATTAAAGACAGTATCTTTATAGTTAAAAGGTACTTCAAAGTCAGTGGCAATATGAAAATACATTATATTTATTTGCAAACAAATACAGTAAAAAATAAAGAAGCAAAGGAAAGAGGGAGGGAAGGATGAAACAAAGGGAAGAAAGAGAAAAGACAAATAACAAAGTTAAGGTAAATTTTCTATATTGGTTACAATGCAAATCTCCAAGTGAGTATGTGCTTTGCATGTTTTTGTACAGAATCCGATAAATAAGAGCAACTCAAATGTTTACTTACCAAATTGCTGTAACACTTCACACACTTGAAGGGGATAAGTAATATTGATAGTCTGCCTTTCTTCAAGTGTGCCTCATAAGGTTTTTTTTTTTTAAGTATAAAACTGTTTCAGGAGAGAAATCTGTTGTGTAACAAAAGCTGACTATAGACATTATAAAGTTTTACTTTTAATATTTCAATCAAGGAAAAAAATATTTCAATCAAGGATGTTACTATGATATAACTGCCTTAAAAGATTTAATTTGTTCCTTAAATTAATAACAATAGGGGTGTAGGCAAATGAGATAAAAATAATGCATCTGCAACTTGTGTAATAAGTGCTCCTATTGCTTTCAAATTAGTTCTGTTAAGAGAAACCAATACTTCTAAATTTTTACAGAATGACCACATCAGTCAGTTTAAATTAAACACTATACACAATCAATGTGTCATAAAAAATTCAATATTAGAGTATGCATGATACTCATATTTAATATGGTCTTAATTATTGTAATAGCTAGTTCTGGTTTCTTAGAGGTTACAGTGACTTAAAGAGTACATTCCAGTAAAAGACATGTGAAAGTCACTGGGTTTTAAATCATGATTATTGTACATTAAGAAAGATTAATAAGAAAAAGAAGAATAAGAAGTAAATAACAAGAAGAAAGAACAAGGAAAAGTAGCTGTCTTGGTTAATAAGCAAGATCAAACATCAAAAATTGATTTTGACTCTCTGGCCTTGGTGTTTCTAGGTTTATAGGTTGGGCTGAGCATGAAGATTGAGCCATCAATCTTTTAAAGAGAACATACCAAGTGCACTCTTCTACTTGATCTATGGAGATCAGTAATGATGCTATTCAGTTAGCCACATATCTGCTTCTCACAAACAAATGTGCCATGATAACAGACATCAGCTGAAATGAGTGCAAGTTATGCAAGTATATAGATAAAATAATATTCATCACAAATTGCACACTTAATACCCCCAAACCAATCAAATTTCCATTCTTCTGGGTCTTAACACAGACACGGAGAGAGGATATTGTAATTCAAAATGCAGATAAAAGTAAATAAAGAAAGCACAGTGCAAGACCCCAGTACTTGCCTTATTTGCCATTGTTACATTATGATATAAAAATATATTTAGTTTGGACGCTGATAACTAGGTGAAGACTGTCTTTATAAACAGAAGAAAGCAAGGTCTCACAATTTCCACATAATTTACAACCACGTTTTAGTAATGCACAGCTAAAATAATTATATTTACATAATTAAAATAAAAATTAAACTTGAAATGGGCTGTTGAGTTCTCTCAAGTCTCTAGAGTAAAAGGAGATAAGAATTTTCCAATTGTCTCACATTTATATGTCTGCTCCACACTCTTCAAACATACAAAGTAAGGGCCAATTCGATAAATCTTCTTGCCCTCAAATTAGAGCTTATATAGAATGGATTGCCACCACTATTGTATGATGAAAAAATGTCACATTTGCATTTCAATTAATAAATCATAGATTGGACATACACAGAATTTGAAAAAAAGAAAAGGTTTTACGTTACCAGGTGTTTTAACCAGAAAAATAAATTTTTCAAGATTCAATCAATAATTATAATCTCACTTTCCAATTTTCTTTTGTTTAAAAATATCCAGTAATTATACTTGAAATAATGTGCAAACATAGAAACAATAGTTTGTCACATTGCTTACAGTCACATCAGTAGCACATAGAATAGCTATACAATATTTTTCTAGAACCACCAATAGGCTTAGTAAAATTCCTACTTTCAACTCTGCATCAAACTCTTGTCTGTGTACAAAGTACTTCCAAATTTCTCTTAAATTTTCCCCACAAAAGGGGGTCATGAATGTAGAAGTGCTCTTCATTTCTCTAGTGTACGGACTTTTTCAACATTTCATCAAAGTGAGTTTGAAGACACTTAACATAAGGGACTGAAATGGTTGCTGCTCAGCCCCATCTCAATCCTTCTATTCCTCTCCTCTCTGAATTCCAAGATGCAATTCCTAATATTCCAACCCTGTGCACCCTCTTGAACAGTATCTCATCTATTTTTCCCACTGTCTCTCTAGAACTCAGAGAGCATGTTCTACTTCTAATAGCTAAACACAATGCATATCTTCTTCCTTTGTATCTAAAAACTATAAAATCAAAAACTTCTCTTACCCCACATAAAGTGTGAATCTTCCAAGGCTTTGTATTATCAATGATTTATCAGACATAGATTCATATCAATATGTATTCAATTTCCCTGTATACTTCCTAATTCCAAGTAGCAACATCCAACTAAAAACTCAAACACTTAATAAAATGTAGAGATTTCCATTAGTTTTCAACATTAACCTTTATAGCAGCTCTTTTCATTACTGTTCTACTCTACCTGTTTCCTACTAAAATGTGGCAATATGTCCCTGTGACATTTTCTTAAATAACAGTGATGCTTTCTTTAAATAGTTCTGAGTAGTTCAGCACATCAGCTGATGCATTATCCTAAAAAAGTCTTCCCTAAGGGTAGCTGACAACAAAGTGATAACATTAATACTAACATCAAAAAAATCTACAGTATTTCCAATGAAAAATTAAAATGACACTCTCCATAAAAGAAGGTAGAAAATCATAGTATATGATGGTACTAAAATGAAACATTTTGGTATTGAATCCAACCCAATTCATAGTAATCAACAGAAAGCTGTATTAATTTCAACCCATTCTCACTTTTATAATTCACAATTAATAAGTTCCACTACTTACCCATGTATCTACAACATCTCCACAATATAGATTCCCAGCAATGCTTAACCTCTCACTAATGACGTGTGTATAACTGCAGCATTATTATTTTAAGCCTTAAAACTGAGGGGAAAAAAGGAGAAACACTTCTTACCAGAGCCTCTTTTGGTTACAACCTTCAAACTCTGAGTAAAAGTAGCGTATAAGAGAATCAAATGCGGAATTGGAGCTTTCATCTTCCAGCTCTTAAAGGCTGATCCCTAAAGCAAAGATAAAAAGAAAAGCATGCACTTTTAAAGATATACACCAACATTATAATATTTTTCTAAGACTTTTGATCAAGTATGATTGGGGCAATGAATTACACAAAGAGAAAGAACATGGACAGGATTTCTATTTTATTTCCCATATATTGTGGTCTTTCAATTAAATCAAAACCAGTAATGCCAAAATTATGTCTCCGTAGGCTTGTCAAAGTGCTTTAAAATTTTATATTCACTTAAGGTTTATAATTTCTCTTTATTTAGAGGCTTGAATTCTGTTTCAATTGGTGGAAATAATCCCTTCAAGAGAACTATTTTACTAATAACTTATCTTCAATATAATTTGCCAAAACTGACCTTTTTAAATATTCCATGCTGCAATACAATACAATTTTATTCAGGGTCCTTCTTTCCAATGAAGGTGAAATCATAAATTTTGCGCCTCTAAATATTTAATTATGATTTTGAAAATATTTTACAAAAAACTTGAACAGATACTGCAGGAGAATTTTAAGGTCTTTCTTTCTACTGAAAGAAGGTATACTGTTGATGAAAGGTACAAAAGTAGCCTTTGTTCTTATTACAAGGCTCTCGGCAGGCTACCAGGAGGGACACTACACTAGTGTTTGACTTTCAAAAGGAGGAAACATTTCACTTGAAATTAGCTATATTTACATTGTCTTCCTCAGAAAATCATCCCTCTTTTTTTCAACATTTTGTGATATAGTTGAGAAAATTATACATATTCAAGTCGTACGCTGTGATGGACATGTACATATATACCTTATGAAATTCTTATAGCAATCATGTTAGTTAACATATCTATCACTTGATGTAGCTATTATTTTACGCCTTGGAAGGACACTTAAAATCTACTCTCAGCCAATTTCAATTATATAATGCACTGTTGTCAACTGTAGTCCCACGCTGCATATTAGATCCCCACAATTTATTCCTTTTATAACTGCAAGTTTGTACCCTTTGCCCACCATCTCCCCGCTTCCTTACTCCCCTTCCAGCCCTTGCCAACCACCACTCTACTCTCTGCTCCTTTTCTTTGTGTGAAAGGCCAAGACGGGAGAGGTGAGAGACTGAATTTCCAGAGTGGCAAGTCAGAAAATCGTTCAAATATAACTCATGACGCGGGCCAAGATTCTTTGAAAGACTGATCATATCCAGTTTTCTATCACTAGGACTTTATTAAGGGACATGAAATGGTGGTTTGACAGTCATGTTTATTCCTCTTCCAGAGTCTTAGATGCCTCTGAATATTTTAAGAGATTAAATTATTCACATTAACAAAAGTCTGTTAATACACTTTTTAATTCACCAAAAATCAAAATCCATTCACTTGCAGCAAAATGTCACCATCATCGTTTTTGTCAGAAAATCAGAGAATTTATAAAATAGCGTTGAAAAAAGAAAAACCTCTTTTTTAAATCCATCACCCCTTTAAATGGTGATAGCCTGCTTTGGTTTTCTAACTAGTGACCTTGGGTTCATATAAAAACATAAATGAAACCTAGCCCAAAGAGCTGATTCATCAGACACATCTGAGAAACTACCACATTAAAGTGCAAGCCTGAGTCATGTATTCCTAAAACCTCAATCCCATTTCCAGCCACCGCACTAACTGGAGCGGCAGGAAATCTTCAGGCTGATATCTTCAGCCTTCAGGTTAGCAGTGAGAATCCGTTCCTTTCTCAGTGTGAGTTTAATCAGCGCTTCCCAAGTAACTCCAGGGTTCAACTACATACTGGAAGCCCTTCTAGCTTAATTATCTTATTATTTTACAGTTGTTCAAAATACTATTTCCTAGTCATTTCATTTCTATAAGGCATACGGGCTAATTTGCAATTCTGTTTCTTAAAATTAAATTAGTTTAGAAAGTATCGATTTGGTAACATCAAAATCCTTAACTGAATTTCTTGAAACTGTGTATGGTGGAGGGGAGAATTGCATGGACTTAATGTATTTGTCAATCTATAATGATCTTTACAAACCTTTTTGAGGAAATTTATTGTATCTTAAATTAAAAGATTAAATATGTCAAGTCACAGAAATCCAAGCTTTGCTCTTCTGGTGAAAAAGCTTATATTGTAACCTAGAAATAGCCAGGCACACTATAAATAATAGTTCCCCCTTAATAACAAGGGATGTGATCCAAGACTGTCAGTGAATGTTTGAAGTCGCAGATAGTACCAAAAGCTATGCATCCTGTTTTTCCTACACATACACATTGATGATAGATTAAATGATAAATTAGATGAAGGGATTATGTACTAACAATATATTGTGATAAAAGTCATATGACTTGTCTTTCAAAATATCTTACTGTACTATACTCATCCTTCTTGTGGGGATGTGAGATGATACAAGGCCTATGCATTGTGATGAAGTAAAGTAAATAATGTAGGCACTGGGTCAGATTTTGGTAACTTCTTAAAGGTTAGTTGAACACAAGCAGGGCAATACCATCACAGGCACTCTGATAACAGAGATGGCTACAAAATGACTAAAAGGTGAGTGACATACACAGCGTGGATATGCTGGCTAGAAGGATAATTCACACATTCCAGGTAGGACTGAGTATGACAATGTGAGATTTCATCACACTACCCCAAAGAGCACAAAATTTAAAATTCATGAATGATTTATCTATGGAAATTTCCATTTATATTTACAGAACATGGTTGGCTGTGAGCAGCTGAAACTATGGAAAGTGAAACTGTAGATGGGGTATACTCTATAAACATTTCCTGAGGTTCTCATGTATTTTTTTTTTATTGTCACATGCTAGTTCCTACTATTGGTGAACTGATTTTAAAGTGCTTTCATTTCTGGATGGAAGGACCTAAAACTGCTACCGTATTTCCTATCAAGATTACCATTCAGGGCAGAGAAGCTCAGCTGGTCCCAGCACCCGGAAGGAAGCTCCCTGCCTCCATCCCAGGCTCCTAGGGCAGAGAAGCTCAGCTGGTCCCAGCACCCGGAAGGAAGCTCCCTGCCTCCATCCCAGGCTCCTAGGGCAGAGAAGCTCAGCCGGTCCCAGCACCCAGAAGGAAGCTCCCCCACCTCCATCCCAGGCTCCTAGGGCAGAGAAGCTCACCCAGTCCCAGAACTCGGAAGGAAGCTCCCCCACTGCCATCCCAGGCTCCTAGGGCAGAGAAGGTGAGCTGGTCCCAGAACCCAGAAGGAAGCTCCCCCACTGCCATCTCAGGCTCCTAGGGCAGAGAAGGTGAGCCAGTCCCAGCACCCAGAAGGAAGCTCCCCCACCGCCATCTCAAGCTCTTAGGGCAGAGAAGGTGAGCCACATGGGCTACAGAAGCACCCCCTCCCGTGGAAATGAGAAGACATATAAACAAGTCTCACAAACAGACTTCTGGATCACCTACAGCAAGCCCAAAGGGAAATGAGATGGAACAGTCTGATACTCAACCACCTGGACT